AGATTTGCTATAAGGGTATTTAGCAATACTTTTATTCTTGTTTACCCCATATAAAAAAAACTACTTTTTTTCGTAACATATATATAGGATTGAAATTGATCGATTCCAAACAACTGCAACCTACGACAAATATATTAATTTCCTAAATATTTATTTGTAAACCTTCAACTACAAGCATTATGTTATATGATTTGATAGAAATTACTCTGTTTTATTTGTTTATATATTTCAATTTTTAAATGTTTTAGTAATTTATTACATAATGTATAATATATTATATATTCCATAAATTATTAAATTATTGCTTATAAAAAACTTTTTTATTTGCAAAAGATATCTGAAATATGGAAAATATGAATGGAGTTGGATCGTTAGAAACACAAATGTTAAATGACAAGAAACCCAATTTAAATGGTTAGTTGATAAATTTTAAATTACTTTAATAATAATAATAATAATTTATTTATTTTAATTAATGTATTTTAGATTCACATAGTGTAATCATTAATGTAGAAGAGTACAATTCAAGCAGTAAAGAAAACGGTAAATTTATATAAACTTAATTTAATTCTTAATATGTACATTTAATTTATTAATTAAGTTAATTAAGTTTTCAGTGTAAAAATAAATCATATACTTTTCCTGATATCATTTATTAATGTTATAAATCTATATTTAATAGTAATTGAAAACATTACTACTATTATATCTATTAATATAATTATATTGACTAATGCAGTTCAGTGGGATTTATTTAATAATTGTTATTCTAATCGATATCCTAAAATAATGACTGTTATTATTATAAAACATTAATTGACATTACAAAATTAAAGTGACAATTTATATTTTGTTAATATGGTTTTCCATATTTTTTTAGCATGAAGTAATTTTATAGTATTGTTATTAATAAGTAAAGAGATATTACATATGTTTTTATAGAGTAAAATGGTTTCAGAAACAGAGATATGCACTTTTTTGTTTGTTTTTGTTAAGTTATTAAAATATTTTTACCTCAAATTTTTTATGTATTTATTTCTAATCGAAGAATTATATAGCAAAGTCATTAGCAAATATGAAATATATATATAATAGCTATTTAGCAGTTTTAAATTAAAGAATTTTGTATATAACGGGTCATGATATATCCGTTTTATGCTGACAGTAATTTCATCACATAGTACATAGTATACAGGTAATTAATCACTAGATTAAGTTTGCTACCTATGGAAAGCTATTCAAAATAATAAATTATTGAAACTAAACTCATTTTCTATCTTTTTAATTATTTTAAATAGTCAATTTAGAGGTATAAAACTGAAAAATTTGTATTACTTAAATCAGTATGTGAGATTCCCACAATTTGTGGTTAGAGAAAAATTAATGTTTAGTACAAGCCAAAAAAAACATGCTAATATTTTATATAGTTTTAAACTAAATTTAATAAATATTTATAAATAATTAAAAAGTATGATAAAAAAAAGCTTTGAAAAGACATGATTCAAATCAATAAATGGTTAAAGAGATTTGTATAACATTCTATAAGGTATTAAGTGATTAAAAAAAATTACAGCGCGATCAAAACACTTATTATTTCCAAACACTTAGAAGAATTTCTGAAACTAAAACTTGTAATTAAATCACTTCATTTGTTGGTGATAACAAAGTTATAAGTCACATTACTAGTCATAAGGACCTAAGAGCATAGTTCCAATCGAATATCTAAAATAGGAATGTGGTGTCATTATCTCTGATTTAATTTAAATGATTGATATTGGATATTATATATTAAAGTATTTCTACTAATTCAATAAATGTTCAAGATCTGTTTCTAAAAATCTAGTTATGTGCAATCTAGTTATGTATAGTCTTATATTGAAAAACTTATAGAGAGAAAAACCGGAGCACAGGTAAAAATACATTACATCCATTTCTCTAGTTAATCCGTTTAATAATACATACAATTTTCAATGTGTTTTTTTAAAGCTTAAAGAACAATTTTGTCATTATATGTGAAAATCACAATCCTAAATACAAATAGCATCTAG